TTAATTGGATTCCCATTATTTCTCACGGGGAAAATTAATTCAACTTATGATAATTTCGTCTAACAATAAGCTCTCTGGAACGGATTAATATCGTAAGTTGAGGGTCCACTGTGTTTGTGTGTGTGTGTGTATATATATATATATATATATATATATATATATATATATATATATATATATATATATATATATATATATATATATATATATATATATATATATATATATACTATATAATTACTAATGAGAGTACCCAAGATGCTTGATATATGACCGTGAGGTAGTAGAACACAAATGAACGAAAGTTTAATGTAATGATAATTGAGATCATGCACTAAATCACCCAGTGTTATGCAAATTCATGTTATTTCAATAAGACAAAAATACAACCAAAAGAGTTAATTAGTAGTAGTATACAGTACATTAGTACAATATGTTAAGCATGCTCTATGTTTGAAGCAAAGCCTCAGCTACTCTCATTCAAACTGAGAAATCGGTTGTAAATGTCCTTTTGATTAACCACCTAATTGTAATTATAATGCACATTTGAAGCTATTATAGTAGTAATTACTCATATTATTATTTAATATTTCCAGTGGTTGATATATTTATTACCTTCTCTTGTACAGTATACCTTTAATGAGTTCTGAGAGTTTTTCTTACTTCCAGAGCCTGGCCTTGGGCCAGGTTCGTCTGTTCTACTACTATGTGGAAATAGAAATTTCTAGTATCTTTTCAGCTCTTCAGCTTTCATTATTATGTTTTGCTACATGGACCACTGAACAAAAATCCTTAACTAATAGCTATACCTCTTGTGCTTGTTGACAGTACATTAACCCTTTCAGGGTCAAGACCCTCACTCCTTAACCCTTTCAGGGTTTCCGACGTACTAGTACGGCTTACACACCAGGGTTTTTGACGTACTAGTACACCTAAATTCTAGCACCCTCAAATCTAGTGAGAGAAAGCTGGTAGGCCTACATATGAAAGAATGGGTTTATGTGGTCAGTGTGCGCAGTAAAAAAAAATCCTGGAGCACACAGTGCGCAATGAGAAAAAAAAAATTGACATTGTTTTTGGTTTAAAACAGCGACTTTGCACTGTATTTTCGTATGGTATTTATTGTTGTATTCTAGTTTTCCTGGTCTCATTGTATAGAGTGGAAGACATATTACAGAAATTGAGACGATTTTGATTGGTTTTACAATGAAAAGTATCTTGAAATTGAGCTCAAATTAGCAGAAATCTTCGATTTTTGCAAAAGTTCAAAAGTAAACAAATCATGCTACGCGTCCAATACACATCAACTGGTGAGTCTAATATTCTTTCATAAGTGCGCTGATATTATTTATATCATTTCTACACTAATGCAGTAGTCTGCATAACAGTAAATCTTCTATTTTTTTGAGAATAAAAATTCAAAGTGGAAAGCAAAAGAATGTAAGAGGGGCGTGGGGACATGACTAATGAACAGAGGAAATGTTATTTTAGTGCCAGGAATGTCTTTCTTCTTTATTCTGGACCCTATTTGGAAATTGGCATCTTTTAAAATTTGTGTGAAATTGGCAAAATTGCTAAATTCCGACCACTGTATTGGATAGTTGAAATTGGTAAATGGGTGGTTTCTTGTACTCATTCGATAGAACAAATGGAGTTCTAGCGAAACAGTTATGATTTTTGTTGGCTAGTACACTGGAATTGGTCGAAAATAGGGCTCAAAGTGGGCAAAATCGCCAATGCGTAAACATCGTCGAGACCGCTAACTTCGCGAGAGCATAATTCCGTAAGTTTTCCATCAAATTCCATACTTTTGGTGTCATTATGATCGGGAGAAGTTTCTCTATCTTTTCATAAGATAAAATAATTTTTTTTTTTGTAATTAGGGCGACCCTGAGAACAAGTCTGGGAGAGGGCCTGGGGACCCTGGAAGGGTTAATTCCCACTCAGGGTCGAAAAATATTCAAAAAATAAAAAAAAATATTTTTCTTGTGAAATGATAGAGAATCTTTTTCTGATCATAATGACACCAAAAGTATGAAATTTGATAGAAAATTTATGAAATTATGCTCTTGTAAATTTAGCGGTAGCGACAATATTTACGCATTGGCAATTTTGACTATTTTGAGCCCTATTTTCAGCCAATTCCAATGTTTCAGTCTACTAAAATCATTTCTATTTTGCTAGAATTCCATTTATTCTATTGACTGTGTACAAGAAACCATCCATTTACTGATTTCAACTACCCAATAATGTGGTCAGAAATTGACAATTTGGCCAATTTCACACAAATTTCAAAAGATGCCAATTTCAAAACAGGGTTCAGAATAAGCATGACAGACATTCCTGGCACTAAAATAACATTTTATCTGTTCATTAGTCATGTCTCCAGGCCCCTCTTACATTACTTTTGCTTTCCATTTTGAATTTTTCTTCTCACAAAAAATAGAAGATTTACTGTCATGTATACTACTACTTCATTGTAAAAAGTGTACAAATAATATCAACACACTTGTGCAAGAATATTAGACTCACCAGTTGATGTGTATTGGACATGTGGCATGATTTGTTTACGCTAGAACATTGGCGAAAATCAAGGAACGTACTTGTTATCATGAAACCAATCAAAATTATTTCTGTAATGTGTCTTCCATTATATCAACCAAGAAAAAAAGAATACAGCCATAAATACCATATGAAAATAGACTGAAAAGTCGCTGTTTTAAACTAAAAACACGGTATGAGTTTTTATTTTCTCATTATGCACTGTTTGCTGCAGGATTTTTTTTATACTGCGCACACTGACCACGCAGACCCATTCTTTCACATCTAGGCCTACCAGCCTTTTCCCGCTTGATTTGAGGGCACTAGAATTTATGCATACTAGTACGTCACCAACACTGGCGCATAAGACGTACTAGTACATCAAAAACCCTGTAAGGGTTAATAAGAAAGCTTCCACATCAATTATTTTTTAGTCTTATACTTTACGTAGTTATCATGTCTCCTTTTTTCTACCTATCAGCCAGTGAGGGCATGTCTAATGGTTCCATCATATGATTTTTTCTTTCAGAATCAATAAAGATTTGCACATTTTATTTTTTCTCACTAAACTCCCCCCTCCCCCCCCAAAAAACATCTTTTGAATTGATGTAAACAAATACATGGAAGGTTGTATACTCTTAGCCATTATGACCAAAAAACAATGGAATACACAAATAACCTGCACATAGAAGAAAGGAGCTTATGACGACATTTCGGTCCGACTTGGACCATTTACAAAGTCACACTAACGAAAAGGAGAGCTGGATGGGTATATATAAGCAGGAGGTGGTAGTAGTAGTAGTGGAGGTGGAAGGAAGTAGTAGTGGGGCAGTAGTAAGAGGAGGAGGGGCCAGTCAAATACTAAGAAAGAGGAGCACTGCAAGGAGCTAGGTGCACACAGAGGGTAAGAGCAAGAACACTATGTGGGCACCTAGCTCCCTTGCAGTGCTCCTCTTTCTTAGTATTTGACCGGCCCCTCCTCCTCTTACTACTGCCCCACTACTACTTCCTTCCACCTCCATTACTACCACTACTACTACTACCACCACCACCACCTTCTGCCTATATATACCCATCCAGCTCTCCGTTTCGTTAGCGTGACTTTGTAAATGGTCCAAGTTAGACTAAAGCGTCATCGTAAGCTCCTTTCTTCTATGTGCGGGTTATTTGTGTATTGTTCCAGTCACGGTATTTTTGCCTTTTTTTTTATTTAACAATGGAATACTGAAATGCAAAATGAGTAATTTATAACCTTTATCTGACTTTTAACAACAAAAAACGTAGTTTTTAACAAAATACAGAGGGGTATAAAAATTTTCATATTTTTAATTTTATTCAGACTTTAGTTAAGTAAAACGGTAATGTAGCTGACTGTGCATAACGTTGGGTTGGTTGCTAAGTTGCGTTTGGCAACACAGAGTAACAATTATGCTTTTTGCAAATCTATTTACTACAAGTAAACAGTTCAAGTGCAATAAAAGAAAAAAAATGAAGTGTCTTGGTAGGGCTAAACAAAATTCTGTTGCAAATTTTGAATATGCAAAATAAGAATTTAAACTTGTCGCAAGTAAGCCCATATGCCACACCAGTAGAGCACCATATCTGCCCTATGTATGAATGTACAGCCTTTAGTATGTATATACCAGTTACTGCAGCAAAGACACGGACTTTCAAATATGAAAAGTCCCTTTTAGCATGCAGTCTCTGCAATTATAAAATGTTAAGTGAGATTAGGAAAGAGTGAGTTCAATTTTAATATTCAACACTGAGCTAATGGTTCACAAATTGAGGTTTAGCTACAATTTTTTTTTAATGCTTCCTGGACACTACTAGGTTAAGTTTCTGTATTATTTTATAAGAATAGATAAACCATCTTAACCCCTAAAAATTTTTGGATTTCTCAGGCATTCATAATTTTCATATGGTAACTTTTCTGAATTAATTTATTCACTAAGTAATTTACAGGAGTTACAAATAAAAGCTCCAAAATATGGATAGATCAGAATGACGGGAATTTTCTAACTTTTTTTTCAACGAACCAGTCATATCCCACGAGGAATGGTGATACTCTGTATTAAAAATTTACTGTAGTTCAAAATACTGTAAAAAAGTATCTTATGTATACAGTATATTCATTATATTAAATCATACAGAATTTCAGTAATTAATTATGCAAGTAAAATTGGACAACTGGCCACAAGTGATTTATCAGGTTCCATACTTAAGTTTTGCAAGCCTGAATACTACCATCTGATATTATTTGATCAATTCCATCCTATTGTAAGTCCTCTGGTAGCTTGCTTATCAATGATGAAACATTTCCTTTCCATTAACTGTACTTAATCAGTCTTTCATTCATACTACATGCCAACAAATTTGTTAACATCCTGAATTACAACTAATAAAGAGTCATACAAGAAAATACTGCTCACAAAAGTGCAATGCCGAATTATAAATACCTGTCTTGCTGAGGCACTGACCGGTTGTAACCCTGGCTCGGAGAAGTGAGAGCATCAGTTGGTCGCCCACCATTCTTCTTAGCTGCTGTTAAGGTCTTGGCAGCATTTACCAGAGGCTGCCCACTGCTGTTTTGGTTTGCAACTGCAGAACACAAACATCAGATGGCCATTTTCAGTTGAAATATATTATGCAAAAAATTCATGAAAGAAGTACTGACAGATTCTAGTTTGACTTAAACATTCATATAGAATACTGTCAACTAAAAATATGAGATCATTACAACAATAATATCATAAAACACTAAGAGTGAAAATTCTTTTCAAGAACTAGTATGTAGCAGCAGACTGCAATGCAAAAATAGGGGGAAAGGATGGGTAGGATTATAATGAATGGATAGGACTAGGTAAGACTGTATGCTGAAAACTAGTAAATGTTATTAAGACTACTGAGCTACAATAATTTAAATGTAAGGGCTCAAAAGAAGAATGGGAAAGGGAATACTAAGTTTTTTGTTTTATATAGCCAAAATTATAAAAAAAAAAACTGCATACTAATAAAAAATAGAATGCTATAATTTACAATGCTTTAAATAAGACAAGTGACAGAGGAAGCTTTCATACAGTACAAAATAAAAAAACACAGTCAAACCCTCAAATTTGTGAGGTTCATAATTCACTTATCTCAGTTTTACAGAGATCATCACCTATCCAGCGATCACTTATTCAGCTTCTAATATTATCTGACAATTCTGTTCAATCTGGCATCTATAAAGATAATAGAAAAATGGAAGGTACAATACAAAGAGACCATACAAAACTGGCATGACCATCCACTGTTATTAACATTGCAGTGAACAGTCATCCCTGAAGAGGTAAAATGCTCAATGATCTATTGTGTGTTGATGTCACTGAAGGACATCTCACCAAGAGCTGGGATTTTTTTTTTTTGGCTTGACATATGACTCAAACAAAATTAATCATACAATTATTCAGAATATGCTTCATGATTTTCCCATGTCAATTTGTTTTTCCTTCTCAACAGTCTTTCCAGATCAGAGCAATACTTAAGTGATATGGCCTCTAATACAAAATTTATTATGTGGATAGAATTTAACAGCATTTGCGAATTTGGAGTTTGTGATGACTTTTAAGAACCTGACCCTTACTAATTTGATGGTTCAACTGTATATTAAAATGCTACAAGTGATTATCTTGTCAAAAGAAGTTAAAAATCTACTCACTACATATGTAGAATCAGTTCTTACAAAGCTCCTCTACATAGTGCAATTTTTCCTAAAGTACATCTGAATTTGTGCATTGCAAAGACAGGCCTTCATATTACATGGTATTCAAGTCTCGATGTACTTTCTTAGTTATGAAAAATTCACACAACATAAAGGAGCTTCATAAGAGCTGACTGTACAGTGTACTCAAACTTCAATTCTCTTATTTTTATTTCAGAAAAGTTACAAAGATATGAAAACATTGCCCTGCAATATTATCAGTCACACTGGTGCTAAAAATGTAATTACTGTAATTCACACAGCACAAACTGATGGTGAAATAGTTAAATACCACATACATATAATCAATCCAGATGATGAAAGAAAATGTCTCGGTACCTTGTCAATGGGGAGACAATAACACAGCACACTTCTGAAAATTTATGATGATGATGATGATGATGATGAAAGATTGAGTCCTTGACATTATATATTTTATTATTAGCAACTGCTTGCTAATGAAGTTAGGGTTTCTCCATTCAAAACATGAGACAGTGTCCTGATTCCCTGGTAGCAGCCCTTCACAGACCTACCCAGGATTGTGACTGGTGAAGTATTATGACCTGCTGAAAAGTACAGGAGGGTCCCTCTTATTCTGCACCCTTTTTCTGGTGTGTCACACTTTTGTTGGCTTTCAACTGAGTCACTGTTCATTATGATCATTGCTTTTACTATTTTTCCACACAACAGCTGTATAAGGGAAGGGTGACCGATGTCATATTTTAAGGTAAGTATTGTATGTACTCTGTATTTATTTTACATTTTTATCTATTTTTTATGTATAGCTGTACTGAGCACTTAATTCATGATAATGAAAAACATGTTATCAGGCATTTTAGATGCATCTGATAATGAAAGAATTGCTTTTTTCCACCCACTGGTGATTTCTGCTTATTGCACAGGGTCAGGAACCTAAGAGCCATATAAACTGGGCCCTCCTGTACTAAGCTATGGCACTTCGACTAGTAATTCTAATATGATTAGACTGCAGGGTTGACACCCATCACTTTATTTAATTCGTTACACTCTTTTAGGAAAAATTTTCAGCTTTCAAAACTGTTCATTAAAATTGTTTAGACAATATTCTTCCCGGAGAATCTATATTAAATAATTTACTGTAATAAATGTTTATCAAGCATCCACTGTTTGTCTTGAAGAACATCAGTCAGAAGTGTGAAAGAGAGAGAATTTTTATGGTAAAATACAATTCAAAAAATTCCTAATGTATAATATAGTGGCCATCTCCCACCAAGGCAGGTGACCCAGAAAAGAAACACTTTCACCATCATTCACACTATCACAGTCTTGCCAGAGGCATGCAAGTATGACAGTTTAGATGTCCCTCTACACAGCAAATAACACAAACCCCTCCTTAGAGTGCAGGTATTGTATCTCCTACCTCCAGGACTTAAGTCCAATTAACCATCAAGTCCCAAAAACCATTTGTCTCAACTCATTCCTATCTAACACATTCACAAATACCTGCTGTGTGTCCAAACCCCTTACACACAAAACCTCCTTTACCCAACCCCTCCCTCCATTCTTACATAAGACAACCCCTACCCCATCTTCTCTCCACTACAGATTTATACACCCTCCAAGTCATCCTATTTTGCTCTATCCTCTACAAATTCCCAAACCACCTCAAGAAAATACACACACTGTATATGCATACACATGCGTATATTTTTGGCCAATCATTCATCATACATTAGGTATAAAAACAGATAGAACTTTGTTAAAGATTATTCAAAATATTTATTCCTGCAAAAGTTCTTTTAAACCAAGCACTGTACAAGTATGGCGTAGATTGAAAAAATATATTATACTGCACAAAGAATTATCTACCCATCTTATCTTGATATGAGGAGCATCTTTCCAATAACGACTCAATTTTCCATCAGCTAAAAAAAAGTGCGATATAGCATACACTGCATTATGCTGCACAGAATATATGAGAAGCACATGAGAAACCATGGAGTGGGTAGGGTTTGAACTCATGGGTTCAAACCCTACCTGTTCCATGGTTTGTTTGAAATTGGGTTATTATGATTTCATGAGACAAGAGAAAAGCTCTGTACAAAGATCATACAGGATAAAAAAAATGCACTACAAACCTGCAGTATGCAATCCCAAACATGCATAAGATTTATATTATTATAAATATGTCTGATACAGTTACTGGAATTTTTTTGTAATTTGTTATAATGTATTACGTAAATAATCGATGATTACGTGAAATGTATTTTAAAATATTGTGTAAGTCTGTATAGGCAAATGGTATTTCAGAAGCCACTTTGCTTCAAAAAATTCTTTGAATGTGTGATATACAGAAGGTCATGATTTGGATTTGTATATTTTTAATAAGGGCAACTATTTTGTTTAAATAATATGTGAAGCACAGGCAGACAAGCAGACAGACAGACAGACACAGACAGACAGACAAAGACACAGACACATACACACACACACACACACACACACACACACACACACAACAAAAGTACAAAGCCAACTGTAGTATCAACAAAAGTGTTTAAAATATACAGAAGAGGCATATACAATATACTGTGTACTATTATACATAAAGATGCATCTCATTCTATGGTTTCCTGAGGCCAGACACTCTGTTGAATTTAAAGATGAGGGTTAATCTGTCAAACAGGTCACGTGACTGGCTATCTTCCATCACCTGCTCAACCTGAAGGTGACAGAAGCTTCCAACCCAGCTAGCTTACCTGCAAGCTTTATGACTGAGTATACTTAGCATAAACTCATACTCTGTGTAATTACCTACTGGTAGCTACAAGGGCAATGGTTCCAATGGTTGTTTAACTACCTTGTAACTCATTTCATTTTAACCACCCTGTGAAGAACTCTCAAGGATCCCTTCACATCTCTATTTATTTGTAGCTACAGCAGCAGAGGTAAACTCGTGGTGTTCCACTTTCAGTATTTAGTCTACTGTATAGTTTCTCAACCTCTTAACTGTGGCATTCCCCAAAAAATTCCTGTGTGTGTGCATAACGAGATCTTGAAAAAAAAATAAAAATTCTTACAGAATGAAAGAGTTCATTTTTATGAACTGAATAAGACTAAAATGAGTGAAATCTGATAAAAGCTTACAATTTTATGGGGTGTTAAATTTGGTGAAAAAAATGATTGTTCATTGGTAACAGTGGTGTATATACACAAGCAATATTTATCCTTTACAATATATTAATGCCAAATTATATTTGTTTTTCAGTTTTTATTGTTTTTTTATGTTTAATACTATGTACACCAATTTCTTATACTATTAAATATGTTACAATATGTTTTAGTGCTTCAGATATGGGAAAATGTTTACCCTGATATTGTTCTATATACAGTATCAATTGGCACAAATAGTCCTTTAAACAATGAAATAAGTCATTATTTGACTACAGTATTGAGTTATCCTAGGTTAATTATAGCATATATTTGGGTTTGAAGGAATATCCTGGATTATATAAACATACTGGAATTTCTATGAGTCCATAACAATGTTGTGCGTGCTTTCAAAGAAGCCTGACTGTTAGGCAAGACAAGACTTAAACAAAGTGTAATGCTAAGATTTCATTAATATTTGATGAAAGAACCCTACTGGGCTCTTCCATCATGGTGAAGGGAAGCGTGATTGTAAACTAGTGTCTAACAAAAAAGTAGCATAACCTACTGTATAAGCTAAGAAAACTCATGTGAATATAAGGACAGCAATTTGTAGAATCACATTTTTTTTTTTAAATCCACTACACCTGGAGTTTACCTGGAGAGAGTTCCGGGGGTCAACACCCCCGTGGCCCGGTCTGTGACCAGGCCTCCTGGTGGATCAGAGCCT